TCGATTGAAAATAGTGTATATAGGTATGCCTGTGTCTAAGATATTTATTTTATAATTTAAGAAAATTTTATTTTATTTATTGAATATTTAATAGTTGACCATTGCATTGTAAAGCAAGGAGATGGTCCGGGGTGGCGATCATAAGTGGCTAAATAGTAACAAAACTATTTTATTAAAAGCCAACGTTTCGACCCGATTTTGCAGGTTTTTTTTTAGGGCTAGAACGGACAAGATACAAAAAGATATAGAGATATTCTATATCTCTTCTGTTCATTTATCCTAATTTTGGTGTCTTGAGGTTTTATTTTTTTATAAATTATGCCAATTATCACCAAACAATTTATTGATACGCTATTTAATTCGACGTTTCGACCATACTAAGGATCATTTTCAAGTCTTGATGAGTCCTCCGTTATATATTCATCATTAATGTCGCAAATAATATGTTCAGTGAACATTAAATTGTCATGGTCTGTCCCTCCAGAAATGACGTAGGTGAAACTCCTATAGACCATGACAATTTAATGTTCACTGAACATATTATTTGCGACATTAATGATGAATATATAACGGAGGACTCATCAAGACTTGAAAATGACCCTTAGTATGGTCGAAACGTCGAATTAAATAGCGTATCAATAAATTGTTTGGTGATAATTGGCATAATTTATATAAAAATAAAAGATATTCTACATTTTTTTGTATCTTGCCCGTTCTAGCTCTGAAGAAGACCTGCAAAATCGGATCGAAACGTTGGATTTTAATAAAATAGTTTTGTTACTATTTAGCCTATTTATGACCGCCACCTCGGACCACCTCCTTCCTTTATTTTATTTATTATTATTATTCCTTCATTATGATATTTAATTTTATTCTTCTTTCGTTGTTAAATTATTTCGTTATTACCTTATTTATTTATGATTCTGTAAATACGGTGTGAATGTACTCTCTGAACTCTATTATAAGTGTCCTTAATTGAGACAGATTGTAATATTTATCAATGAACAAATGAAAAAAAAACAAAAAGACAGCTAGGATGTCATCAATGTATTTAAGTTCTTTACCTTCTCAATCATCTGAATTTTCATTCATGTTTTCTAATAAACCGATAAAAAAAATAAAAATAATTTCTGCTTGTCCTTCCTTAAGATACCGCCTTCCATATATTATTACGAATTTCGCTTTTGCTAATGCCAATAATCCTTGGAAAGTGAAGTGATGTAACGGAGCAGAAGGCTATATCTGGTTCGGACTTTTAGGAACCGGTAGGCCTAGTGTGTCCAAATCCTTCTTGACCGAATTCCCCCAATCCCGCCCTCGTTACTGGAGAATTATTTAGGAATAAAGCAGAAACTGGATTGAGTAGGGGTGGGCACTAGAGGATCCAGGATTTAATTTTATTTTTTGGGGGGCTTCAGCCCGAAAGATTTTTTTTTCATTTACATATAACGATAATTAATTTGAAAAAAAAAAGAAATTAACTACTTATATGAAATGGTGTTCAAGTGGTTCTTGAAGTCCTATTAAATATAATTACACGAACAAGAATACTTTATGAGATAGTTTTTAAATATTTTTTTTTTTAAAAAACATGGTTATATTTTACCATTTTGTGGGGAGCTTCAGCCCGAAAGCCCCCCTCCCCAGTAGATCCGCCTGTGATAGTTCGTATCCTCCCCTCAGACACAAATTATATTAAAATTTTATATGCTTAACATCTTAGCTGCGGCTAATAATTCCTATTTCTCTATTCATATTTATTGTATTATATTCATATTATTGAAATTGTAAACAAAAACAACAAATTTAATAATAAATAATTAAAAAATCTGGTGCACGGAACACACAACTTTCACTTACCGCTCAACTTTGAATAGAAATTATTTTTGGCCATATCGGGCTATTATAAAATTTTTGAATTGCGTTTTTAACTGAGCTGAAGCTAAAAAATTACAGCTTACAAATCATAAATACCATTAAAATAACCAAAGTCCTATTTATTATATCACCGGTTGAGTATGGATTGTACGATCCGTTGATCATGTATTGCACGATCAATTGATTACGGATTGTAATAAAATTATTAAACTACAGTAAATATATTTAAGGTTATAAACATATCCATGAAATGATTTTATATTTTACTTCTTCTTTCACACAAGTACAATGAAATAGTTATTTAAACAATGTCATTGCCTTTATTAAGTGGATTTTAAATATTTCTTTCAAACTTAAAATTATTTTAAAAGGTTGCATTTAGTTAGTAAATTTCATTTAATTTCCTTGAAAACATGTGATTTACGTTAAATATTATTAGTTTTCAAAAAATATTATTTATAATTTTTTTTGCCAATCTCCTTTTCCTCTAACAACTTTCTATATTCGATATTGTTTTTTCTAAAATTCTCCGCTTTCCAACGATATATTATACGTATATCTTCGGACTAGTATTTCCATAGATTCATTTTCGACCTGGATAAGCATTTTAATTTTTTTCTCCTATATTCAATTATAAAATTCTTTCAAAAGTTATATCTAGCATTTTTTCGTAATTTTGAATAATGCGAAATGGTTAACTTTTTAAAATCAACCATATTAAAGGTACTTTAGAGGGAGACGCATATGAACATTGGGCATTTAAGCCCTGTAAAGTGACATCAACGGGGATAAGACCTAAACGATATTAAAGACCACTTAATTATACGATGATACACCGAGTTCAATCAAAATCGTTAGAGTCGTTTTTGAGAAAATTGTAAAAATGTGTTTCAGCGTTCATATAAAGTGGCACTTCCGGTAAGCCGATTTTAACGAATAATTTAGAATCTTGGAAATAAAAAGATATACATATTTCTCGTATCTTTTTAACCAAATAGTTGAAACTATAGCACAGGCGAATCTACTGGGGGAGGGAGGCTTTCGGGCTGAAGCCTCCCAAAGATGGTAAAATATAACCATGTTTTACAGAAAAAAATATGATAAACTATCTCTTAAAGTATTCATGTTCGTGTAATTACATTTAATAAGACTTCAAGAACCACTTAAACACCGTTTCATATACGTAGTTAATTTCTTTCTTTTTTTTTCAAATTAATTATCTTTATATGTATACGACAAAAAAAATCTTTCGGGCTGAAGCTCCTCCCCCCAAAATTAAATCCTGGATCCGCTAGTGAACTATAGTACCTAAATTTACCTATATGTCGTCGATGTTTCTTGTTTGAATTAGACTACCAGGAAAATAAAAACAATTTATTTTTATATATAAATGTATTTTCTCATCAGTAATTTTCTTAATTATTTATTTAATAATTTTTATTAGTGCCTTAACAAAATCAAAGAATGTATTCAATATAAATGTTAATTATTGAAAATCCTATGCCGCATTTTAAAGTAAATAATATAGATTTTATCGAAACTATCAACTATCGATTGTAGAAAACTATGGACTATCGCCCATTCCAAGGATTGAGTCACGGGCGGATCTACGGGGGGGCTTTCGGGCTGAAGCCCCCCCCAAAATGGAAAAATATAACCATGTTTTATGGGAAAAAAAATTTAAAAATACCTCTTAAACTATTATTGTTCGTGTAATTACATTTAAAAGTACTTAAGGAATAACTTAAACACCATTTCATATAGGTAGTTAGTTTCTTTCTGTTTTTCCAAAGTAATTATCGTTATTTTTATGAAAAAAAAGGTTTCGGGCTGAAGCCCCCCCCAAAAATAAATCCTGGATCCGCTAGTGGATTGAGTATATTTCCTCAAGGACTGGGTTGAGGTGAGATCAATAACGAAGAGTCGATCAATTTTTTTTTTATTGTTGTGATAACAGATTTCAATGATCTAATGACGTTAGTTTCTGCATTTTTGATTTGAAAAATTAGTTCGAGGAGATAAATTCTTTCTCTAGGATCTAGTATCTATATCTAGTATCCTTCGTCCGGCTTACGACAGACCAACCCCCATTTCCCAAATTATACAACTGTTATAATATAATATATTACTTGCCCCTTCCGAATAACTCACAGAAAATTGTCTTTAGTGAAGGAATCAAGAAAAAATTTATTCACAAATAAAGGTTTTTTCCTTCATAACTTTTTCTCCTTCAATATTGGGGGATGTGAATATTTTAACCACCTAAAGAAGAAGAAGAACTTTAAAATGAAGGCTCAATCATTGGATTTGATGAAGAATTGACAAAGTTATGGCATTGCGACAAAAAACACCTTTTAGAAATAATATATAAGATATATTATAGATAAATTATATAATAGAAAGTTATTTACTTATATATTATATTAGAACTACTCAACAATGTTTAACCTTGGGATATTCAACAAATAAACATTTTCATTCCATTTCCATTTAAGTCCATGAATTTGAGATAATGAATTTGGCACTGGAGGCGGTGGATTGGCAGATTTGGTTGGTCCTGGTTCTTTGATGATCAACTGTTTGTTAAATAAATTTTATATTTCAATTTCAGTTGTCTAGTTTTGAATGTCGACAGTTAATTTCCCCTCTCCCAATGAACTCCTCAACTCCTTCCCTTTCAAAATGTTAATTTCATTGACTCAGATCAGACAGTTGATTGAAGATATAAATATGTTTTCATATGATAAAAGTTAGAAATTATTAAAGCTCAAAATTTATAAAATTTGCCTAATTTTGAAAAGCTATACTTCAAAACCTATTAGGTTTACTGAGCTTATTCTAGTCTCAAATTGTAAATAAAATGTTTTTTGTCGATAACTGTCTCCTTCATGGTCAAAATGGGGTAAAACCGATAAAAGTGGCAGTTTTGGGGATGTTCAAAAGTGTCAACGTTGAAACATAGGATTTTACATTTCAGTCACACCCCAATCAAGAAAAAAAAAAAAAACCTTCTACCACCACTTGATGGAACTTAGACCCTCTTTTCCATGAAATAAAATATTTATTTTTATAGAAGCATATTATTTATAAGACTGTTTACAATATTACACATATTATTGCAGACTTATGTCGCTTACTTGGTGAACAATATTTACAATATAAGTGGGCTTATGGACTCTCCGAGGGACACCCATGTCGACCGTGTGCAAAGACAGATCGTGGCCGATCTAGCCTGCAGGATGGGAGTTGACGACTGTATCAGTAGATCTCTTCAACACTTGAGTAATCGCATCAAAGGAATAAAGCATCGGTTAGTAATTTATAATTATTAAATTAACAAAATTATATTTTCCTAGGTGTCAGTAAAAAAAAAAATTGCAATATTGATGGTACTTGACAATCAGATTATAGGTCAATTGGAGCCTGCAGTAAGTAGCAAAATTGTTTCTCCTCCTCCTCAAGGATTATAAAATTTCCAGGTTCGCTCACTCAGACCGAAAATGGAGTGGAGGAATCGAGCTCTGTCCTTACCACGAAACCACTACACTACTCCTACCCTTTTTTTCTGGGTGTTTTAAGATTTAGCTTTCTACATGAAATCAATACTTTAACGTACAATAACTTATTAATTTATAAATATTAATAAATTAAAAAAGTAAGAGAAAGGTTCATTTGCTATTTTGTTTATTCTCAAGCAATTATAATGTACGACTATAATAAGTTCATGTTATAAGTAAGATTTTTTTTTTAATTAATGCAAAATACCATAATATTTTTTTTTACCATTTCAAATAAATATAAATTAGTATAACTTTTTTTTTTGTAATTTAGAAATGGGTATTTAATTCACTGTTGGAATTATAAGGCTGAAAAATGGCCACAGTGTACAGACAAAAAATTAAGTTTATTGAATTTGCCAAACTTAATAAACTTAACAACTCAATAAATTTAATTTTTTGACTGAAAATCCTGAAAATTTTTCATCCTTAAAAAAAAAAAAAAATTTTAATCCAAAATTGAAGAAGAGTTTTCTTTCTACGAATTTTTGTAAATACTCATATGTCATGAGTAATTCTACTTTGTGATTTTTTTTTTTTTTTTGTTTTGTTTTGATTGCTGTAGTACTTTTGTGTTATTTAAAAAAATTATTCTTACAAATACATGTGTTTGAAAAAAAAATCCTCACTAACTCTTCTTCTATCTCTACATGTTCTCCTCTAAGAAATAAATTAGACATCTTTCTTACAATGTTGGTCTTTTTTTTTATATTATACTCATTAAAAAGTGATCCAACTACCAATAATATTTATATTATTATGAAAAATGCAAGAAATGAATTCTCTGTAACAGTTACCAAAAAAAATATTAGAAGAAATACTTGTTTTATTATTATATCATACTATTAAAAGAAATACTTTACTAATGACGAGTTTTATAGACCTTGGCTCCCGCCTTGTAAAGATGTAAATATGGAAAAATATTACTTATCGATACTTATTAAACATTAAAATAATACAATTGAAAATAAGCAATTTTTTTTTACTTTCTATACCATTCTTCTTCTTCTTCCATGGCTCTACAACCCACGAGGGGTCATGGCCGTCTGAAATAAGGTCCACCATTCTTCTCGATTCCGAGAAGCAACTCTCCAGTCCCGGATCCCCAGAGCGGATCCCCTCTTATTCACCCCATCCACCATTCGCAGCCTGGGCCGTCCATGCCTTCTGGTGGTGTGAATTTCTTCTTCAAGGAACCTCTTTGGGATTGAGTCGGCATTCATCCTGGTCACATGCCCAGCCCACCTGTGCCAGCCAATCCTGATGAAGCACACTATGTCGCAGTCCTTGTACAGCTCATATATTTCGGCCTTTGTCCTAATCCACCAGGCTAGCTCAAGGGCATCAAAAGTTGCTCCGAAAATTCTTCTTAATACCTTTCTTTCAAATCGGAGGAGTTGATTTTCCTGAGCTTTGGATAAAGTCCAGCAATCAGATACATATGTAAGCACTGACCTAATCAGGGTTTTGCGCAAACGGAATTAATTTACTTTTCATCAGTCGCACTAGAAAATAACATTTGTTAGATACAATGATTCTTCTTTGGATTTCCTTACCTGTGTCATTATCCTGAGTTATCAAGGAACCAAGGTATATAAATTCCTCGACTCTCTCAAATGAACATCCATTCAGTAGTACATGAGAAGGGAGCATCTACCATTGAAGACAATTAATTTCAAAGTAGTTAATATTATTGTTACCTACTTTACTGTTTCATAATAGATTTGTGACTGCTTGTTTTTATTTGACAATCAATGAATTCATGGAAAGATACTGTAATTAAATGGATATTACTTTACAATTTTACTAGTTTATTAGTTAAAAAAAATTAATAATTTAATTAAATTACTAAATTATATTCAGTTTGTTAACATCTCTAGCTGATGCTGATTTACAATTTTTATAAAAGTGTTAAAAAATATATATATTTCAGGATTTCTCCAGACGTTGAAGCAACAGTTTATTGTACAGCAGTGGCTAATGGTGAAGATTCTGTGTGGCAGTATGTTTTATCATTGTACCGCAGCAATCCAAAAGATAGCGCTCGCTATTTGTCTGCTCTCTCTTGTTCTATTAATTCTGGAAACTTAAAACAGTAATTAATTTATCTATTATTTTACAAAAAAAAAAGAAAAAAAAGTAAACACACTAAATAAAATTTTGTTTGTCAGATTTATTATTGATTCCATACCCGATCTGACTGCTGACCAATGGATCGAAAGGACAACAGCAATAGCATCGAGGAAGGAAAATTCAGACATCTTGCTCAATATAATTCACAAAAACATCAACATTATAATTAACAAGTATAATAAAACATATTTTTATTGTATACCTTTATATGTTTCTAATTATAATAACTAAATGAAATATATTTATTTTTTACAGGTATGGTACAAGAACGGTGAGCAGAGTATTGCTTCAATTTACAAAATACTTAACTACGAAAGTGCAGGCCGATACGGTAAGGATAATATTTTTTTCTTGTAATGAGATGTAAGTTGGTCATAAATAATAACCTAACCTATAACTTAAAACTTACTTATATATACACATTAATAACTTCTCTTAATAAGATATGGTATTTTTAATATTATTTCGATAATATTAAACAACTAGTCAATTAATATTTACTTGAGGGCCAATTTTTATTTTTGAACAAATCTATCAATATAATATAAAATAAAATATAAATATAAAATAAAAATAAAACAACCTGCCATTTTCTAACAAAATCTTTCAAAAAGGATCATATAAGCCTGCCATAAGGTAGAGAAAAATATCTAGGCTCAGACTTCCCTGGAGCCCCGTAAGAGTTTAAAAAAATTGTGTTCAGTCCAAAAGAATTATACATTCTTATTCTTGTAGAAGAAGCATAATTTTACAGTGTAACCTAATTTATACAAATGTAGAGAAGAATAGTTGGGGTGGTCAGTCAAAAAGGAAGGCGAAAATAAATATTATCATTTATTTTTGCCTTCCTTTTTGACTGACCACCCCAACTATTCTTCTCTTCATTATCCACAGACAGTCAACCTATTACCAATTATTATACAAATGTATGTTATTTATAAGATACACACATTAGTATCAGGATAAATTTGCTATCTACTAGTTCATTAAGCAAATATCATATCAAGAAGGACAGAAAAAAACAAGCAAGAGAGGCTGTGAATTTCAAAACAAATCTATAATAGTTTAGGAACTATATTAGGTTATTTATCAATTATTTAATTTTTTTTTTTTTTTTTTTTTGCAGCTTAAGGAGATTGAAAGGTTTGGAGTTGGAGGACTCAATACTGAAATAACACAAATAAACAATCGAAAGGAGTGGCTGGATAAAAATGCTCCTCTGATAGTAAACTTTCTCAGGGAAAATCATCAGTTTGGTTTCATCACTTCAAGATTACTTCTATAATTTGAAAATGCAGGAAACAATCGTTAATTTGTCTGTAGTTACTAGCTGTTATTCATAATTTAAATTCATGAAATTATTAAAATTGAAGAATCTTCCATAATATTACCTCACATGTATATAAGATGCTTTTGTAAACTATGTTATTACACAAAGATGCAATCGTAGCAATCAGTTTTATCTCCATTAAAAATATTGTATTTAGTTATAAACTACTCTTTTATCAATAGTTCAGTTTGATCAAGGTGATACATAACTCTGAATAAAAAAAAAAATAATAAAAAAAAAAGGAATCCTTAATTTTTCTTCTGGTTTCCAATTAACTGATAATCAATATTCTTTTACAATTAATGAATAATTTACAAATAAAAATATTAAGGAATATAGTTAAACATAGATAAAGTCAGGCCTCAGTAAGTTGAATCTCATGAGACTGACATTTTTATTTATGTTATCTACTATACTTTAGTAGTTCAGATAACCAAAATTTGATATAACACAAACAAGAATCATTAACCTTTAACATCAGAAAATTTTTAATGGAAACACAAAACCACATAGATAGGAACAAATAAATAAACATAAAAAGGTTTATTGGACAAATTTGAAAAATAAAATCTTTTTTATTTACTAGGACTCCATCCAGAACTAACGTCTAACTTGGAATCCTTATACCAGACTGAAAGGACAAGAAACCACTCAACGTTTCCGACTACTTCAGCACTTACTAGACAAACACTCTAAACTTCCAATTAATTACAAAAGACTCATATACATGACTATAATAAGACCTATTTGGACTTAAGGAGTTGAGCAATGGAGCTCCACTAAACCATCAAATTCCTCTTGTATTCAATCCTTACAATCCAAAATTCTCAAGCGCCCTAATTTTTTACAAATGAAATCATCCATAATGACCTTAATGTTCCTTATGTTTTAGATCTGGCCTAATCCAGATATCTATCCTTCCATAATAAACTTCAGAATCATCCCAACATTTCTAACCTTGCTTTCTCTTCAATTCCTGATAACCCTCCAAGGCCTCTGAAAAGAAGATAGCCTCGAGATCTCCTAATGTAGACAAATCATTAGAGTGCTACCATTGGGTAGTTTCTCGACAAGTGTTTTCACATCATTATATCCATTTGTACAAATTTAGTAGATATATTTCATTAATACAGTTGTAAATATCATTAATAAATAATAAAAAAAAATTATTTAACATTTCCATAATCATTCTTATTCTGTTGATTATTATTACATTAAAGGAGGAATTTTGGATTTGAAAGTAATGATGTATTAATATATACACAAACAAATATAGAAGCTCACAAAGACACCAAAGCTTTAAAAGTTATGTTTTACTTGCAATATATCAATCTATCCATCTATCTATAGCATACATATTGTTAGGTTATGTTTCCTTTGAAAAGTAAACAAACAGTTTCTGAACCAAATTATATTTATTTTACACAATTATTTCTCAGGTTGAGTTGAGACGAGTAAACACACGTTCCTCAATTATATAAAAATACACATTAATAAATATAAAAGCACACATTAATTGTATATAAAATTTATGGATTTCCATTCAGTTTATCGGGGTCCACTCTTGGTGCGCTTTCTAATTGTCACTATTTATAATAGTACATAATATGTACTACTTTGTTACATATCCTGTAAACCTTATAAATATTTGCTATGTTTAATGCATAGAAATATTATTATAATATTTATAATTAGCTATGTACATACACTGGTGATTATAAAGGAAGGAGATGATCCGGGATGGTGGTCATAAATAAGCTAAATAGTGGCAAAACTATTTTATTAAAAGCTAAAGTTTCTGCTAAAGCTAAAGACCCGACTTTGCAGGTCTTCTTCAGGGAGGTGTGTTCAGGTAGAACTCTAGTTGTGAACTAAGTGAAACTCCTAGCTGAACACACCTCCCTATAGTTTTGCCTCTATTTAGTCTATTTATGACCGCCACCCCAGACCATCTCTTTCCTTTATAATGCAACGGTCAACTATTAAATATTCAATCAGTGGTGATTATATTTTCTGTTTATAGAAATGTAAAACCATATCACTTTTTTCATTAAAACCTGTTCAAGTAAATGATTTATAAAAACTTTTATTAATGAGGTTTGAAAATAAAAGTTAAGAGCATAACTGTTTTGAAATGGAATGTATCAATAAAAGTAAAGTTGAATAAAAACTTTTATACTTTGACGTATTTTAATAAAAGTTAAGTTTTTACTTTTAATTATAAGAGTTAACTGTTTCATTCGACCCCTGATTCAATTTATAGAGTTCAAAATATAAGAAAGTAAGGCATTGCAAGGTTTTTTTAAGTTACTGAGGTTCAAATTAACAATATCCAACTGTAATAATAATAGTAGTATTAAATTTAAACGATTTGTAGGGATTTCCTCCTATTTCAGCGCTTGAGACAGATGGCATTGTATGTTGCATGTACCTAAGGTTTCAAATAAATAAGAGAAATTTTCATGTTCTTTCAATAGAAAAAGTTTTCTGATTGGTAGAATGTTATAATTTAAGGAAATAATGACCAAAACTTTAATAGTGTCAATTTGTTTTTCACCTCTTTATATATTACTAATAATGAGCAATGACTTTTTAATATTTCTAAAATATAATAATTGTAATTTGTACCTTAATTTACAATTAAGTAAATGTCACTCTATGTCAAATGTTTACGTCTTTAACATCGACTAGCATTGTAAAAGTTTTCTATTGTTTCTGAGATTTCTGAATTGTGAACTTAAGAAATAAAAAAATATTAATTAATTTATTATAAGATTTTTAACAGAGACAAACATGGATTATACTTAGTGGCAATATTTTTTATAATTTTTGTTGTAATTAAAATAATACATTATATTATTTAAACATTTGTTTTAACCATAATGAGATTGTATGTAGCAATTCTTTGTAATAGTTTTATATGTAATATTTATATTGCTCAACTTTTAATTTTTGTTTGTATTTTTATTGCAAATATATATATATTTATATAAAAACATAATGTAAATATGTTCAAGAATTACTGTTATTTATTTTTTTATAATTTTTATGTTTCTTATTACAATATTTTTTAAATAAATCTATTTATGGTTTAAAATTTGAGTCAAAAATATATTTTAGATTAATTGATTGCCTCATAATTAGTTTTTAAATTATCGATTGATAAAACCTGCAGATTTTTCTGGGAGGACAGGTGTCTATGATCCATTAATTTTGGAAGATTCCTAACTTTTTTGAGCCTATATCTATATATCTGAAATTTCTTCTTTGGAAAAGAACAAGGTAACTGACTCTTACCCCTACCTTGCCCATAGGGATGAGCGATAGTCGAAAGTACTATCGGTATATCGATAGTTTAAAACTATCAGTAGCCTCGGTAGTCCAAGCGACTATTAATAGTTCATATCCTCCTCTTAGACTCAAATTATTATAAAATTTTATATACTTAAAGAAATAATTTTTTTTTTTTTTTGAACTCATGAAAAACTGTTCAATAACATCACATTAAGAAAATAAATTTATAAAAGTATGAAGACGTGTTTAAAACTATTCTTATCTATATATAAAATTGAAACTAAATTAAACAAGAAGATTCCTTCAAGATAAAAAAAGAATACAATCTCAAATTATTTTCTTAAAAGTATTTTTACACCTACAATAGTGGCAATAGAAAAAAAAAATTTAACAAGTTATTAAGTTGCTTGGCAATAATAACTTCCAATTATTAACAAACGAGTATATTTTTTAACATTACATGTTAAAAAAAAAAAAAAAAAAAAAAAAAAAAAAAAAAAATTTAACTTTGCCTCTCCCTTTTATTTTTCCCCACAAAAAATATTTATTAAATTTACAATTATGACATTACAGTTTCCTTATATTTTAAACTATTATTATCAAATTAAATTTATAAAATTACAATCTTGGAAATTAAAAGATGTACACATTTCTCTCCTGCTTTTTTTACCATATAGTAAAAACAATAGTATATGTCATGATACATGTTTAGATTATCTTCTCTCTATTGGAGTTTTAGATTCAGCAATATGTCCACTGTGTCGACAAGGATTCATGACTGCTCTGCATCTACTGACTTGTCCCGGACTAGAGGATGTTAGGAACAAAGCCAGGACAGAAGGTGAAATTTACTGGGCTGCTAGACGTCGCATGGCCGAAAGAGCTCAAGACGATCAAGGCATAAGATAAAAAAAAAAAAATATATATATATATATATATATATATATATATATATATATATATATATATATATATATATATATGTAGGTTTATAAACTTAATAATATCTAATAATACATAGGTATTTAAACTTAAGCTAATAAATATGTGGAATGGGAAATATTTGACATATAAATGTAGGAAGTTATAAAGTAATTGTAATAATCTTTAACGTAAAAAATAACAGTAACAAAGATAGAATATATATAAAATAATGATTAGGAACTTACATATTTATAAAATAACAGATCTTATTATTATTATTATTGCCTACTATTTTCTCGGTATTTATTTGTTACCTGTTCTTTGCTTAGCCCTGATGAAGGGCCTGAAACTTAGACCAAAATGTGAGCACAAAGATAATAAATATAATTTATTTTAATGTATTTCCATATGTATTCCAATCCCAAACCAAATTCTCTTCAATAATAAGTTTTAACAGTTTTGGAGATGTTTTAGACTTGTTCACGTTATTGATGTAAAATCTTGCATTTATTTTTTTATTCCTTTAATCCTTTAACACCTAAAAAGAATAGGTCAGTTACATAAGTCCAATGGTTACTTATGTAAGGAGTTCATCCTTAGTCTGCAATATTCTTGTGTACAAGCTATAATGATTATATAATGAACTTTTATTTTTATTTACTTATTTTTAAATTTCAGGTGCTACCTGCAAATATCCAGACATAACGAAATATGCAATCATGCTCCAAGGTCTTGTTGCTACAGCTCTTCATGGCGACACCTTTTCTAATTATGTTAATGATTTTAATGAAATTTATCCATAGAACAGAGCTATATAAAAGTATGAAAAAAAAATTCTTTTCATGAAACCAAAAACTTATATTTTAGTTTTAACTCTCACATCATTCTTACATTTTATTTTACAATAATGATTATGGTAAATTAATAAAAGTAATTAATTCTAATAGTGTGATCTTTCACGTTTGTTACCTAAATACAGTGGTGATTTGTGTTCA